AATATTATTATTAATGACATGTATTTTGCATTTAAGATACAGACACACACACACACACACATTTCATTTATCCATATAATAAAGTATAAAATTTAAGCTAATATAATTTTAAACAAAATCCATGCTCATACCATTTTAGCAAAAAGCTAATATATTTAAAAAAAACTTAATTTACAAATAAAATACTCTGAATTTATTTTAATAATAACACTAATAATATTGTAGTAATCTTTATTATATTAGAATTGTATTTATATTACAACTTAAATACATATAAAAGTAAACATTTTAATAAAAACCTTTTTTCGGCCACTATTTTGTCGACCAATTGTCGGGCGTTTTCCTGAGCGCCGGTAGACATCCTCTCGTATTCAGTAGCCGTCACTTCCATTATTACAACTAATAGTTAAATCTTTAGCAATCGGTGGTAATTGTGACCACAAGCTATAATTTTATAAACTAAGCCAACTTAGTTTGCATCTTGGCCTATTTATAGTTTTATTACTATAACTGTAGTCATGCTCAATAGTTGTATATCGTAGATACTTTTATGTATAGTAGAATAACCAAATGAGATAAACTTGATAAAATTCTTATTGATAAGTAAAATATATTGTTTTTTATTTTCATAATGATCATCAGAAATATTAAAAATTATTATTGACTAAAGAATTTTATTTTTTTTTGTTAATTTACAAAAACTTTTCTACTTTTTAAAATGTGTGACTATGGTAATATTGATAGGTGTTTGTGCTGAAGTTATTGTATTATTATCCTATATTTGTTATTGAAAATTATTTGTTAAATAACAAGATTTTATAAATGTTTTCCATGCATTTCAATATAATATGCAGATCATTCTCAAAAAGCATAATGTTTACTTTATGTGCAATAGTCCAGAATATTCTAATCATATTTAATGTTGATCAATATTTTGATGATATTATTGTCACAAGTTTGGTAAATTCAATAATTTAATGCAACATTAATTTTAATCAAATTTTTAATAATAACGGTCATATAATTTTAAAACTATTTACTGAACTTATAATATAAATGTTAAATTAAAAAAGAATTTTAATGACAAAACTAGTGTTCTTAAAATCAAATATGATGACTGTATGAAATACAAAACATGAATATTGCTTATTAATGTAGCTTTTTAATTTTTAATATTTTACAAATTAATATTTAGGTTATGCTGTTTATTAAATTAAAAGTATTTGTTAATTGCTTGTTTCAATCCAACTTATAAACTAGTTGAGCAAACAAATAAATTGCTGTATGATTTGATTTCAATACAGCAGCAATTTTAAGCGAAAATTAAGCTGGGCAATACATTATATTTATAAGTAAAAAATTGTAATATAACTTTATATAATAGTTTATTATTAGTAGCTATTTAATAACTAATATATAATATGGTGTATTAATACTTCTTTATAATTTACAAGTTTATCTTGCAATTATTTTATTACTAATAAATATTTAAACTAAACATTACATTATACAATCAAAAATACAATGATGACAAACTATGCAACTAAACATACATTTTTATTAAAGTCAGTAATTAATTAAACAGATATTATTTTATATTTAAAGTCTCATCACAACAAAATAATATCAAGTTGTAACTTATGGCTTATATGAAGTTTTATTTCAGCAATTATATTATTATATTGCTAAATTTTTGTACAATTTAAATTCAAACTATATTTTAATTAGTGCATACTAATTCTGCAACTTCTAAACTTTATAACATATAACTAACATTATACTAGTGATAATCTATAATTTATGTTTTAAAAATTTATATTTAATCATTTAAATGATAATAATCTTTAATAATTTGCGCGCATTTATAGCCCACAGTAATAGCGGCGGCGGCGGTGTTGGCGTTGGGTATAACGGGAAACACAGAGGCGTCGCAAACCCTGAGATTGTTGGCCCCCTTAACCCTCAACTGGGGGTCGACCACAACGTCCGGCCTCTCTATCGCTCCCATACGACAACTGCCCGCCGGATGATAAGACGACAATGAATTGAACCTAATATAGCACTTCAGTCCTTCAGAGCACTCATACATGTATTTTCCCGGACATACCGGACACCCGATATCTGCAAAGGATGGCAACGGCTGTATATATTTAGCCATATCTGTAACCTCGAGCAAATAAAACTGCATTCTCACGGCATCCACTATATTAACCTGGTCCTCCGGGTCTGACAACCAGTTGGGGTCAATGAGTGGGGGCAGCCGTGGGTCAGTTGACAGTAACCTTATTGTGCCCCGACTTTTAGTCTTCAATAAATTTACACTCGTGTGTACAGTAGTGTTATACGCGGTAAAAAATAACTGCACGTTTGGCCACTGTTTGTCACGGTTTAAATGTGTGCTATAGTATAGTACGGTGTGTACAGTTTGAGCTAACTGTCCTCGGTGTTGGTAGTATAATTCACCAAGTTGTTTTGCATTTAGTTGGGCTACTTCGTTGATTAGATACGAATATTCTGGTTTGATTTGGGCATCTACATAAATATTAGGATGATTTACATAGTTATTACCAATTGGTAGGTCGAGTTTCACCGGTATTTTTAGGCTCTGTAAATGATGTTTTGGGCCCAAACCTGATAGCATTAATAACTGTGGGGTATTAAAAGCACCTAGCGAATAGTATTTATAATGTTAGAAAAGTCATTATGAGTAAAATATTTTTCTTAATATTTACCGCCGGAAACAATGACTTCTCTGTTGGCGTAAACCGTATACGAGATGTCATTCACTTGTCAACCCATTGAACAGTATTTTAGTGACCAATGCTTTGCACACTATATGCAGGTTATCTGGATATGGGTTCGGGTCTACAAATGCATTACCAGTACTCGATCTAAACCCTTGAGCAGTGATAAATTTTTGCAAAAGCATATATCCTGTCTGATTGGGACCATTAACGTCTGTATCCTTAAAACCAAGTTCATTTACTACGCGATGATATTTTTCAATTATTTTATCAGGATCTTTAACTGTAGATATTTGAATGGGTCCACGAGTTCCGTGATAGTCGGGATTATTGGCAACAATTACGGGATCCGTATTGTTCTCCCACTCCCTGAACACCGGCAACACATCCCTATAACTCCAACCGACGGCGCCGTACGTATTGGCCCACTCGTCAAAATCGCGACGATTGCCCCGATTGTAGTACATAGTGTTGTGCGCTGTACTACCGCCCAATGTTTTGCCTCTTTGGTCGGGCACTCGGCCGCCAGCATATTGTTGACCGTAATTATCGTGCGGTTCGTTATAATATTTCCATTTATTTACATTATCCGTATATATCTTAGAAACCATTCCCGGGATATCGTTATATATAGCGCTTTGAGCGCCTCCCGCCTCCAACAACAGCACCCGTACGGACTGGCATTCGCTCAGCTTATTAGCGACGACAGCACCGGCAGCCCCGGCGCCCACGACTATGAAATCATAGCTTTTGTCCCATTGTGTACGCGAGACTGTCTTGTCGTGTATGAGCTGTCGCTGCGCTGTTATCCACGAGAGGACTAGTATTTTGTATGACAAGAGCGATATATAAGCCATACTTCAGATCACTCGCTAATAGTAATAGTTAGATAAATTTCGAGTTATATTTTATTTATATTTGTAGCTAATTCAAGGTTTTATAAAAATAATTACAAAAAGTATTTATTTCAGAAAGAATATACATGTATGTAAAACATTGTATTTGTAAATAAACAAGGCTTGCAAACTATCAGAGTGACCCATAAATTAAATGTTTTGTTAAAAAATCACACTTAAAATGTGATCTGCCACATTTTTAAACTAATAATTAAATTACATTTGTAATCGCAATTTAGTTTTTACCTTGAACCTATTTTGGGCTATTTTACTATGTTATTTCAGATTAAAAATTTTGATTCTGTAGTACTCTTTTAAAACTTTTATTTAAAAATTAACAATATTATTTATTTGTATGCAACTTGTTTTAAAACCTTTTCTAAATTGGTTTGCTACGTTTTTGAGCGTTGGAAAATCATTGTTAAATTTTTTTAACAAATAACGTACCAGCAGCGGAACCAGGGGTATCACCATCAGGGTATGATTGACCTGAAACATGTAAATAAAATTGTAATTAAATATTTTTAAAAAAATTGGGGATAAGGAGCTTGGCATTAATATATTGCAAATGGACATGAAATAAGTTTGGGTGGTTAGGGTTGACTTGTGTCTTACATTAGCATTTATATAAATACCACATTTTGGTTAATTTTTAAGGCTATTTCAATATTATATAAAAATACTATACAAAAAGCTATGTAATAATTGCAATTTTAGTTATTTGTATCAATTTATGGACATACCCGATACAGTGATCAAAACGGACAGAATACCAAGTGCAATAGCAATTATCATTATTATGAATTAACTTAAACAGTATTATTATATTAAATAGATTTTTGCGTTTCAATACTGACTTCAATGCAGTGGAGACCAGAAAAACACGTATGGTATATATTTAATTAATAAATTATTTATTATTTAATAAACTTTATAAATTGTATACTAATATGAATGTTCAAACTTGCAAAACAAACTTTGTTAAGAAATTTAGATTTTTAAATAAGGTTTTTGAGAGTGAGTGAGTGAGTGAGTGAGTGAGAGAGAGAGAGAGAGAGAGAGAGAGAGAGAGAACGTATTTTTTTCATTACAATATTGTAGACCTGGTGGTCTGAGAAGTTCGGCCGTGTCAGCACAAGTCACACCATTTATTGTTTATAAGTTATAAATATACAGTATATCAATGATAATACAATTTTATAGAAAGCAACCTTTTTTTATTAAAATTAGCTTAAATTAGCAACCGAGATTAAAAATTTTAATAAATTTATGTTTTCATGTTAATGATACTAACTCGTAAGTTATTAATTATTTAATTATTAATTAGTTATTAATAAAAACTCAAATAAATCTAAATCCCAGTATAAAACTGTAATAAATATTGAAAATTATTAATTAAAAAATATTTTAACCAAACAACGAAAAATATTTTTAAATAAACACAAAATCTCATAATTATAATATAAAAATTATTATTTATTTGCACAATTAACATACATTTTAATTAATTAGATTGTAATACTCTTTAATAAATTGCGCGCATTTATAGCCAACCACTATAGAGGCGGCCGCAGTGTTGCCGTTCGGGAGGACCGGGAAAATAGACGAATCGCAAACCCTTAGATTGTTGGCCCCCTTAACCCTCAACTGGGGGTCGACCACAACGTCCGGCCTCTCTATCGCTCCCATACGACAACTGCCCGCCGGATGATAAGACGACAACGAGTTTATCCTAATATAGCACTTCAGTCCCTCCGAGCACTCATACATGTATTTTCCCGGACATACCGGACACCCGATATCGGCAAACGATGTCATTGGCTGTAAATATTTGGCCAGTTGTGTGCGCTCGAGCAAATAAAACTGCATTCTCACGGCATCCAATATATTAACCTGGTCCTCCGGGTCTGACAACCAGTTGGGGTCAATGAGTGGGGGCAACAGGGGGTCAGTAGACTGGAGCCTTATTGTGCCGTAACTTTTAACTTTTACTAAATTTATACTTGTGTGAAGCGATGCATTAAATCCGGTGTAAAATAACTCTACATTTGGCCACTGTTTGTCTCGGTTTAATTGAGTGCTATAATACAATACGGACACGGGATATTGTGACTGTACACCACTATTTTGGTAATATAGCTGGCTCAATTGTTGTACATTGAATTGTGGCACTTCGTTGACTAGATATGAATACTGGGGCTTTAATGGCACATCCAGTTCCACATTAGGGTGATTGTGATAGTTGTCACCGACTGGTAGGTCCAGTACCACCGGTATGCCAAAGCTGTTTAAGTGCTGTCTTGGGCCCACACCCGACAACATCAATAGTTGTGGACTATTTATTGGACCTAGACAAAATAAATTATAAATTTTTAAAAATTTGATAAATTAAAATAATATTATCAATATTTACCGCCGGAAACAATGACTTCTCTGTTGGCGTAAACCGTATACGAGATGTCATTCACTATAAACTCGACGCCAATGGCTGTCAACCCATTGAACAGCACTTTTAATTAAAATAATATTATCAATATTTACCGCCGGAAACAATGACTTCTCTGTTGGCGTAAACCGTATACGAGATGTCATTCACTATAAACTCGACGCCAATGGCTGTCAACCCATTGAACAGCACTTTAGTGGCCAAAGCTTTGCACACTATATGCAGGTTATCTGGATATGGGTTGGGATCAACATAAGCAGTTCCGGTATCACTTCTCAGCCCTTGTGCTGTGATATAGTTTTCCATAAGCATATATCCAGCCTGAGTGCGACCATTAATGTCGGTATCCCTATAACCAAGTTCATTCACCACTTTATGTTGCACTTCTAATATCTTATCGGGATTTTTGGGCGACGAGACCTGAATCGGACCACTAGTCCCGTGATATTGGGGCTCATTTCGCACAATCGTTGGGTTTGTGTTGTTTTCAAACCCTATAAACATTGTTGCACTTCTAATATCTTATCGGGATTTTTGGGCGACGAGACCTGAATCGGACCACTAGTCCCGTGATATTGGGGCTCATTTCGCACAATCGTTGGGTTTGTGTTGTTTTCAAACCCTATAAACAGCGGCAACAGATCCCTATAACTCCAACCGACGGCGCCGTACGTATTGGCCCACTCGTCATAACCGCGACGATTACCCCGATTGTAGTACATGGCGTTGTGTGCGGTACTGCCGCCTAGCGTTTTGCCCCTCTGGTCGGGTACGCGACCGCCGGCAAAGGACTGGCCATAATTATCGTGCGGTTCGTTATAATATCGCCATATATTGATATTGAGGGGATATATGCCGCCAATCATACCGGGAATATCATTGTAAATAGCGTTTTGAGCGCCTCCCGCCTCCAACAACAGCACCCGCACTGACCGGCATTCGGCCAGTTTATTAGCCAAGACAGCACCTGACCCGCCGGCGCCCACTATAATAAAATCATAGCTTGTGTCCCATGAAGTGCGTGAGGCTGTCCTGTCGTGTATGAGCTGTCGCTGCGCTGTTATCCACGAGAGCACCAGTATTTTGTACGATAATAGGGTTACCTGTGCCATATTGTCTCAGTACCACCACCAACACCAATCAACTATTAAACTATTATGTTAGCTTAATTGCAAACAACAATAAAACGACAGTAAAACCACTCTAGCCCCTTTTATCTTAAACATAGTTCAATGCAATTATTGTAATCATAATTTAGTCTATAGTCAATAGGTTGTGGTATTGACATAGTATGACATGTTGTGCTCATAAACACATTGTCTGTATTGGAAATCTAGTTTGTTTTTAGTTTGAAATAATCAATTAAAATCTGTTGTGATTTTTTTTATGTTAATGCTTAATTAATTTGTATATAAAATATACAAAATGGTAAAAGCTTTTGTTCTCATTAATTACATCAATACAGTAATAATAATTAAATAATGATTAAGTAATAATTACTCTATTATTATTGCTCTAGTTATTTCTTAAACAGCAAGTTGTGTATCATTTGTTATAACGTTGTAACGTGTAATGTAAATGTCATTTTAGGTCAATTTGATATCTGAACATATTTTGCATTTCGCAACCAAAATATCATACATTCAATGCCATACAACTAAAATATTAAATATAATTTTTAAATAACTTCACTATATAATTAATTAATATTATTGAAGGGGCAAATACTAGCACTATTTTCTATTGTTATTTATGAATCATATCTATATCTTTATACTATTAACATACAGAATAATAGGGTCTAACATGATAAATGTCGGTTTGTAGCAGCACATTAAATTATTGCAAAAAATTATATTGTGATCACAGATAACATTGATAATAAAAAACAAATATAAATTTAGCAAAGATATTTTGATTTATTTGAAATGACAGATTTAAATATGCAATTTAAAAAATTGCTTTACTTTTTATTATAATTAGATTTAAAATGTATTTATTACAAAAGTTTTAAATATATTTAAATATTTATTATTAACCTTTTTGTGATAATATTTCAATTAAATGACATGTTTGATCAGTAATATTGACAGAAATAAAATTACAAATAAAATAAAATACAAAGTTTTAAAATAACAAATCATAAAATTTGAACTATAACATCAAAAAAGATTAATTTAATAGAACTATCAAGAATTTATTTCAACATACGTCTATTGTCTCTTACTTTCAATCGTTTATTAATTTTACGATTAATTTTATCCATTATCTGTCGATCAGTATTTAAATGATTAAAATTAACACATTTTTGAGCGTAGTAACTTTCTACCAATTTCCATGATGTTTTAGCCTCATGATTCACCGCTGCCGATGATACCATGGTGAACATAAAAGGGTATATCATGAGCGCCTGGGCGTATACATAGATTAGCCGGACTACAAGTAGCGAGTCTTGAAATATTAATACATAGGTTATGACCAAAATAATTGAACTCAAAACTGCCCACAATATAGCGATATATTGAGACCAATACGTGATGTTATACTCATTGATCTCAACGTATATTCTGTTCAATAAATTCATTGTATTCCTAATGAATACGGAATTAAATCTCTTATCTCTCTTCAAATATATGCGAATATTATTATTAATGACATGTATTTTGCATTTAAGATACAGACAAATAAAATAAAAATATAACACTAAACCCATAAGCTGATGTACGGCGCTATAATTGACCATGGTCAAAAATAGACTTTGCGGTATACCAAAGATGACCATTTCCATTAATGTACATTTTTGTACGTATACTAAAAGTACAAATACAAAACTTACCGGATAGAAAGACTGATCTATAACACTAACTATTTTGAACAAAACACGTGACCTTTTGGCCAACCTATACACCACTTGGTTATCGCTGAGACCCAACTGTGCGGGTGTTATATAACCGGCAAACATATCAAACAGTGCCAGAAATGTTGGTTTTATACCACGTTCATAGTTATAGTAATAGAATAAACGAAATAATATGTGCATTAAAGTCCATAATCCGATATAAATGTTTATATGTATCGGAAAGCCTTGTAGATAAGCCCAATCTCCCAATAATATCTTCATGGTATGGTTTGTATCAGGCACAAATAAAGTTGATATTATGAATTGCAATAAAAATATAACCATGATCGAGTTTATATACAGTGGTCTCCGTAGGATACTTCGATGGCTACTACTATCGTATTGACTGCGTGTATAACACAGTCCATTTATATACAATATATTACTGGCCGATCGAGTGACCATGGTGTGCGGCAATACTGTTTTTACATTGATGTTATCCATAACTAAATTTATATATATATATCTATTTAGATAATATTTAAATAATAAGTAATTCAAAAGTTTATTATGTTAAATATTGTTAACATATAACTAAAGTATTCAAATAAAATATAAATATCATAAATAGTATTTATTCAGTTTATCTATTGTATTGTATTGTTTATCAATAGCATTTAAATTTAGCTGCTATACTATTATTAAGATATATTTATATAAATAATATAATATAAATGATATAAAGTAATAATAATTAATTATAATAAGTATCATTTAATTAAAATATGTATAAATAGGTAACTGTATACAATTAGACAAATTATTATAAAGTAAATGACAATATCTAGTTGTATCTTGTAGTATCTAGTAGTACAAGTATTTTATAATTCAATGTTTGTTATGCTAATTATTATTGTTGCGAAAAACATGTTTATAACATTTATTAAATTAATTAAGCCAAAGTAAACGTTATGACCATGATTATACAATTATACTTTGTGCTATCCTAAATTTAGTGCATATAAAGAGCACATAATTGATTATTTGGTAATTGAATTGTCAATAAAATGTATAACAATTCACATTCACATTATATTATTATTTTAATAGATCGTCATTTAATGCAAATTAAATAAAAAGTATTACATAATTTCAATTTATGATTTCCATATTTACCATATAATATTAATTTAAGTTATGGTAATCTATAATAAATTGTGAGCACTTATAGCCCACTAGTATAGAGGCGGAGGCGGTATTGGCGTTGGGTAGCGTTGGGAACACCGATGAATTTATTGAAATATTTCGAGAATATATTAAATTACACTATATTAAATAGGCCACAATTAGAGTGACCAACCCTCCCGATTTCATCGGGATAATCCCGATTTCATACATTTTGCGCAGCGTCCCGACGAGGGTCTCGTCGGGACCATAGAACATCCCGATCAAATTTTACTGTATTACAAATTATTTATTTGATAATATACAACAGTTTTGTTATTTAAACATTCAATTCTACATTTCATTAAAAAATATTACCATTTTTAATAATTATTATTTAGTATTAATT